AGCCTAGCCGGACAATCACACAGAAAGTACCCCGACGTCTCGTCGTATTCAAGACAACAACGGCATTTCCAGTACCTACTGAAGTCTGAGTTTACCTGCTCGGTAATTGTAAGTATCGAAGAACGCCAACTGAATTTGCTCCAAAAGGACAGACGATGAGCCTTACTTCACTCTTCCGAAGTAGCCCAGTACCCAGCACAATTGCACTTTTTGAAAAATATTAAAACACTTCCTGACGAATGTGGTTATGATAATCCTATGTATGTATTTGAAAAAGCCTTGAGGACCACTTGACTGTCTGAAATGATAACTATATGTATGTATATCCGCCTTTAAAATCTCTTTCGAGGTATACGCTCACGCAGATTGCTAGCATATTATCTAATTCTAAAAACTCTTCTGCCCCCCGTCTGCGTACCAATGTACATATCTGGTACCCAGGTAAGATTAGCCATTTGTAAAAACCTCTTGAGCTGCGGGTTTCAGTCCAAATAAATTTGTAAACATTTCGTAATAACTAATTTTATTTTATATAAATCGAATGAACCGAATCATTAGTTTTGTTTAATGGAAGTTGTGCCGTCTGAAAGTGATCTTAAGAGTCCTACTACATTAGCGCTGCCAGACGTCCTGGTTTAAGCAAATTGTCCTGGTGTCCTGGTCCACTCTTAAATTGTCCTGGTTTTTTAATGAAGTTCAATGGATAAACCCATTTAATTTTTAGCAGATTTTTGTTATGAAAAAAATGTTAAGCTTTCTTTTAGTAGTAATCGAAAATCTATAACGAAACCTTTTTTCTAACATGTGGACCGATATCTGGTGAGTTTGCCCCTTCTTTTTAGTTTTTTTGGTTAAAATCTTAAATTTCTATCTTCCGACAAATGTCAAAAAGTGCAAGTTCCTGAACAGCTACACGGCTGAAGGGTCTTTCATACTACCTAGAATTTCAGGAGCTAAAATATCTTCCAAAAGGTTCTTCTGAAAATAATTTCTTTCTCATGCTTTTGTATAGAGGGGCACAAATTAAAGGGCTTCTGTATTCGCTGCTCAAAGAAGAGTTTCCAGAAGAGCTTTTGTAGGACGATAGCCTACGTAAATTATCTTCAGGTGACGCATATATAAAATGTCAAAAATGGTCATGAAGCGCATTGTAGGATATGTGGAAATTCGGTAATGCTGGTAAGGCAACCGCAAGCAAGACCACGTTAAAGGCGCCAAACATTTTTCGAGGTTACGTCACAGTCAAGAGAAATTTGTTCTTTTATGATAAAAATTGAGCGTTTCATACAACACATTATCATCAATAATTCAGCTCTACGCATTGAGCTAAAAAAACACATTGCTTATAATATTAGAAATTACTTCAAAATAATGCAATGCCAGAACGAAAGCAACTGTACTTATAAGAAATATATTGGCACCATATTCACTTGCATCTACATTTTTGATTTGGAAGATATGTAAGTGTCCTGGTCGATGGGTTTAGGCATATGGCAGCCCTATACTACATCAAGAATCTAATTTTCCTGAACTAAGAAAACCTCTAAACGTATACCGAGTATGGAATGATTAACAAAACATTAATTATTTTCTGCTTCAATTTGAGTTCTCTGCGATGCCATTTATAATGCATTCCAAAGCATCGATGAATGAAAATTGTATCGCGAACAACAGAGCAAAAATGAACGTGAAGGTGTGAAGATGGTCGGAATTCGTTAAGCTGCAATGCATTGGAAGAAAGCGCGTCATACATATCTACATATGTGCATATGTAAATATTTAAAACTATTTCATTCGAAGCGAAAGCAAAAGCGCCAACAAAAAAATGTGTAACACATCAGTAAATCCCATTAGGTGCAAAACCGCGTAACTGAAATTTTTTGTCAAAAATTGGATTTGCTCACCGAACCTCTTGGCTTAATTAAGCCTTATCTATTCGTCCTGAAATAAACTAAACAGAAATGCGATTGCTTTATAAAAGAGAGACCAATTTTGAAATATGAGTGTTTTTACCCGCTACAAAATAATTTATGAAACCTCACATACTCGGTTTTGCGTTATGTTGATACGCGGTTTTGTACTTTAAACGACGATATATTATGTANGTTGACAAGCGGCAAATGCTGAGGTGTCTTGATTGTTCGACAAACAAAAAAAGTAAATCAACAGGAAAAATGTGAAGGAAAAACTCATAAAAAAAGTGTAAAGAAAAATGTTTGAGCGTGAGTTGTAAATATTTGTTTTTCCTGTTTTGGAGCGCGACAAAGCGCCGCATACGGGCATACGGTTGCTGATATTAACGCATAAGTACATATATAGATTTCATTGTAGTGTATACATATATAGTACATATGTAAATACAAGCGAATAGGCACTGTTGCCAACTTGGTGCTTTTCGTACTACATTCAGTGCGTTTCTTTATTCAAAATGCGAAAAGTTTAGAGTTTAAGTTAAAGATTCACGTTAAAAAGGTGAAATTTTGATGAAAATTTTTAATTTTTCTTATTTTTTTTTATAAAGTTTCA